GTTCCTGTGCAACTGGCTGTGCATGCACATGTGTTTCATGTGTGCTGACATGTGATGGCATCATGCAATGACAGAATATCTGGAGTTGGTAGGGGCCCATAAGGATCGTCGAGTGCAACTCCCTGCTCTTTGCAGGACTGCCTAAAACTAAACCGTATCACTGAGAGCATTGTCCATGGTCCTTGCACTCTGACACGTTTGGTGCTGTGACCGCTTGCGTGGGGAGCCTGTTCCAGTGACCAGCCACCCTCTCAGTGAAGAACCTTTTCCTAATGTTCAGGCTGAACTTCCCTGATGCAGCTTCATTCCACTTCCTTGACCTTTTCCTCTCCATTCCATTGCCTACCTCTGGTCAGCAGAAAGAGATCAGCACCTCCCCTGCTGCTGCCCGCCTTGAGGCAGGTGTGGACTGTGATGAGGTCACCCCTCAGCCGTCTCTTCTCCAAGCTGAACCATCCAAGTGACCTCAGCCACTCCTCATAATTCTTGCCCACAAGACCTTTCACCATCTTGGTCACCCTCTTCTGGACACTCTAAGAGTTTGATGTCCTTCTTCTGTCGAGGCTCCCAATCCTGCACAGGGTACTTGAGGTGGGGCTGCACCAGTGCAGAGTGGGACAATCACCTCCCTCGACCGGCTCGCTGTGCTCTGCGTGATGCACCCCAGGACACCGTTGGCCCTTTACGCTGCCAGGACACACTGTTGACTCACAGTCAGCTTGTCTTCAACCCAAAGCCCCACATCTCTTTCCCTGGGGCTGCTCTCCAGCCTCTCGTCCCCCAGTTGGCATCCTGCCAAGCATGAAAGTCCCTGGTGAGACTAAGCCGTGCTCTTCTCCAGTCAGGGGCACTCATCCTCCTCTTTGTCCTGTCAGTCCTCTGAGCATCCTGAGCTCCACAGTCTCCTGGACAGTGAGGTCAAGGCTGCCCTTGGACTTAACATCATTCAACAGTTCTTCCTCATTTGTGAGTAGCAGGTCTAAGAGATCCTCTTTTCTAGGCCATTCATGCATTGCCTGCATGAAGAATTTGCTTCCATAGGCCCCAGACATGTCATGTTTTGCTTTTGCCAGACATTTTCCTCCTTCAGTAGATACTGAGGTGGTACCAGGTAAGAACCAGGGCTTGTGACTACAAGGCTTTCCCCAACTGCCTGACAAAGGTGTCATCTGCCTCCTCTTCTTGAGCAGGAGATGTGTAGCAGCCACCTAAGTACACCACCACCTGCGCCACAGGGGAAGTGTGAGAGCCTCCTCTGGCATGCTGCTCCGCCGTGCATACCTCTTCTACCCTTGTGACATCCCTGCTCTTCAGTCTGTGGTGACCTCCCCCTCCATACCTACTTTAAACTCCTCCTTCCTAGTTCTGCAGGGATTTGGAAAGACACTCTTGCCTCCCCTTGCCAGGCACATTCCACCCCTGACCAGTGTCTTCACTGTTCCTCAAAGGTCGTCGTGGTACAGAAGCCAAAGCTGTGCAGTGCTGCCGCAGCCTCCTGCTGCCATGCCCGTGGCCCAAATGAGCTCTTCCACATGAGGGAGAGGGAGTCTCTTCTGACTTCTCTGTCATGCTTTGCATCTCACTCTTAGAAAATGAAGGTAATTAAGGGATTGTAATTGAAATGGAACAAGGTCCCCTCAGGGGATATGTCCTTCCAGCCCAGTGGGACCAACTCAGATTCCAGCACATCCTTGTATAGAGGCTCTTTCTGCCCAGACTCACTTACCAGCATAATTTATAGACTCACAGAATCATAGAAGAGTTTGTGTTGGAAGGGAGCTTGAAAGACCATCTAGTCCAAGACTTCTGCCATGGGTAGGGACACCTCCCACTAGATCAGGTTGCTCAGAGCCCCATCGAACCTGACCTTGAACACTTCTGATTATGGGGCTTCCTCAACTTCTCGGGTCAATCTGATCTAGTGTCTCAAAACCTTAATCTGAAAAATTTTCTTCCTTAAGACCGACCTAAATCTACCTTCTCTATGTTTAAAGCTACTGCTCCCTTGTCACTACAGACCCTCCTAAAGCTCCTTTCCCTGTTTCATTTATAAGCTTCCCTTAAAAAATTGAGAGGCTGCAACATTTCTCCAGAGCTGTCTCCTCTCCAGGCTGAACAACCCCACCTCACTCAGCCTTTCCTCAGAGGAGAGCTGTTCCATCCACCTCTTCATTTTTCTGGCCTTCCCTGGACCCGCTAAAACAGACCCTTCCCACAGTCACTGAAGAGACATCAGCTCACACACGGGTATTATCCCCCTCCCAGAGCAGATGTGCACGGCAAATGGAACAAATCCTCTTTCTGGAGACACTGACCCTGCACTTGACCCACGGAGGCCTCTGAACTCCCCAGACAGCAGAAGCTCACAGCAGGGCCAGCCTGCCTGGTCACATCTCCATGGCTTGCTTCATCATGTGATCAGGAGTGAACCCACAGTCTGTCCTGCCAGTGCCTACAAGCACCTCCATCCCATGCCTAAAGCCCACATCCATGTCCACGGTACTCAGGGACCGAGAGAGAGCAGGGAAGCAGCTTTTTTGGGGTGAATGGGCTCGAGCTGGGCACCTTACCCTCATCACCTGCATCTCCTGCTCTCACCAAGCACAGATCAGTCTTCCCTCAGCCACACGGAACCTTTGAAAAGAGAACCTGGAGAAGATGACTCTCTGCAGTCCAACCCCTGTGTGCACAGTGTATATGTCTGTCTTCTGGCACCTTGAGTCTTCTCAATTAAATCTGAATGACCAGAGGTTTAGATTTGTGTGTGTGTGTGTGTGTGTGTGCATGTGCACACGTTTGTGTGTGTTGTCTAAGCCAGCCGTTTGGTCCACTCTGAGTCTCCTATAGTGGATTCCTCCGGCATGTGAGGTGAGTCCTCTGCTCAGGCTGACGTGTCTTCTCTGGAAATGCTTGGGCCTCTCATCCTGTCACGCAAAAGATGTCTTCACTGCAGAATGTACCTGGCATCAAGCAGGAAATTAAAAGAAAATGGTTCCGGAAGCTGAAACACAGCCCATAGCATTAGGTGGGATGTTTTGCATTCAGGATGAGCTTGTCAGATAATAACCACCTCTACAAGGGATGCCTCTGTCAGCCTGGGGCAGTAAAGGTCCGGCATAAAAGCCAGCAGAGCTCCTCGCTCTCTCATCCACTTCTCTTGCCTCCTTCTCCTTGAGAACCAGGTGAGTCTGAGGTCCCTTCTCCTTCTCTGCTTTCTCACAAAGGAGGTCTCACTTCAGTGAACCTGCCAGCTGAGACTGGCTTGGTTCCATACCAGATCTTGGGGTTGCTTCTCAATGGAGAGGGGAGTGGGGGGAGGTTAAGCATGGATAGAAACTGGAACGGTACTGAGGTGGCTTCTGTACTCGGGGGTAGAGAGTAGCCACAGAGCAGCTGGTGGCTCTTTTTGGACTCTGACAGGATGAAGCCAATAAGACCTAATACATCACTGCACAAATTTATACTGCAGTGACAAACTGCTCCTCAGGCATCCCCGTGCTTTTCTTCCTTCCTGACCTCTCTCCCAGGTGCAACTGACATCCCAAGACATGTCCTGCTGTGACCAGTGCCAGCCCTGCGAGCCCTGCTGCCAGCCCTGCGGCCCGACCCCGCTGGCCAACAGCTGCAATGAGCCCTGTGTCAGGCAGTGCCAGAACTCCACCATCGTCATCCAGCCCTCCCCCGTGGTGGTGACCCTGCCCGGCCCCATCCTCAGCTCCTTCCCGCAGAGCACCGCCGTGGGCTCCTCCACCTCTGCTGCCGTTGGCAGCATCCTCAGCTGTGACGGAGTGCCCATCAACTCTGGGGGCTTTGACCTCTCCTGCATTACCAGCCGCTACTGTGGCAGAAGGTGCCCCCCATGCTAAAGCCACTGGTGACAGCCCGCACAAGGACCCCAGGAACCCAGAAGCTCATGCTGGACTGAGGACAGAGCTCCTGGCCAGTGATTTCAGGGAGGCTGAGCATCCTTCCAAGGGAGGGCAGCTGTGCCTCTCTGAAAACATGACCAAAGTCTAACTCCTCTGACTTCTACTGCCTGACATCTTTTTCTTGTCTTCTGTTCTTCTGGGATGTAAGACCCCCAGAGCCAAGCTGCAGGATCTACTGGCCCCTCTCCCTCTGTGCTGATGGATCCCTTCTGGGATCTCCACCATGGCCAATGGGCGCAGACATTTGGCAGCTGCTGGTGCTCTCCCGGATCTGGCCGCCTCTTCTCCAAGTGAACTCATTTCCCTCTTTCAGAGTCATTAAAGCTTTCTGCATCCCAGCCTCTGTCTCCATATAAAATTTTTATTGGTGCACATTGTACAAAGTTGCTGAGGAAGAAAGGCATTCTACTAACTAGTGGGGGATTGAGACGGGTACCAAGCAGATGTTTCATCATTCAGAGAGAAAGGGGAGGATGGGACACATGGCAGTGGGACCCTCTCAGACACTGTCTCTTGGAGGTGAGGAAGACATCCCTGGCTCCTCCACAGTCAATGGTGATCAGGCTCTGCTTCTGGCACCTCTGCTCAAACATAAGGCCCTGGCCTCAGAGCATGTCCTGCAGAAAGGAAACCTGACCACTGCTATCCCCTAGAGAGGAGCCCAATGTGGTTAGAGGCTCTGACAGCTCAGTACCTCACAATTTTTTCCAGAAGATAATTTTTCTTGCTTTAGAGGTGCGAGTAGAAGCTCAATAAAGATGTCTGCAAAGGATTTGGGAGTTGGGATGGTGTGGGAAAAATTCTTTAATACAGCCCCAGAAATTCTCATATTTGTTTTCCCACCTGTCCGCAGAAAGAGGGGGTCTGACCGTCACTCAAGGGCAAGGATAGCAATGACAGGTCACCTGTACACCCTCCATCTCCCAGAAGACAACTGCTTACACAGTTCAAAGGGCTAACATGACCCTAAGGTTGATGAAATCAGCCTGTGCAGCCCTCACAGCAGAGCCCTCCTGTCACTCACACACCCCCGGCTCCCACCAGACAGGGCACCCCAAGGACAGCAGCCAGTGCCCAAGCCCCCATGGTCCATTGGTGCTGCCTGGCCTTCCCGCAGGCATGAGGCAGCTCTCCCCAAGGCCGGGTCTTCTCCTGGCAGGCCCATGAGGTAGGCCATGAGAAGGGCTGCAAGGACCAGCAGAGTGCACTGGGGAGAGCAGGTCCTCTGGATCCCAGCTCATGGTGACACAGCAACAGGAGAGTCCTCAATGTGGTTCAAATTATTATCCAGTATTGCAATAATTATGCAATTCTAGGAATCCGAGGTGCCCTGTCACATGTAATTTATGTTTTCCACGTTACTTTGAACTCTGACCTCTGATGGACACATCCCGCAGCTGGTACTCTTAAGACACAGGCCTGCAGGAAAACCTGAAGCAGCAATGTGCAGCAGGGAATAACAGAAAGCAAGGAGCAGCAGTAAGGAATTACTGAACAGAGACCATCCCTGCATTGCCTGACCCCTCACCAGAGCCATCAGGCAGAAGAATCATGTGACCTGTGGTCAGAACAGGAGGACCTGAGACTCTGCCACCACCTGCTCCTTCCTCTCAAACCACTGACACTGTCCCCTCCTGGAAGAAGATTTTGACCTGCAGATCCCTGGGTGCCCAGGGGAAGCAGAGGTGCCAGGGGAGAGCTGAGGGCCCCTTCCCCCAAGCTCAGCCTTGCACACACACAGCCCCTCCCTCCCCTGGGTTCTTGCCCAGCCAAGGAACCTCCCTGCACCAGGGTGTCTGGCACAGCACAGAGGTACAGGGCGCTGTCAGAGACCTCGACTTCCTCCAGCTGCAGGACGCTGTATTTCCCTGTGGTGTTCAGCAACGTGGTGAGACGGCCGCTCTGCCTGGGGCCAGCTGCTGCCTGATACGAGAGCAGCTGGGGAGCTTGGCCTTTCCTCTGCTGGTACCAGAGCAAAGTGTAAAAGCTGGAGGTCTGGTATGTGCAGTTGGTCTGGAAGGTGTCTCTGTGCTTCACTGTGACTTGTCCTTCTTGCTGGGTGACTGTGATCTGCCCCGTGGTGCCTGGAAGGAAGGGAAGGTCAGCAGCTCTGCTGGGAGGTGCTCTGGGAGGCAAACCAGAAATGGATGCAAAACCCTGGAGGAGAAGGCTCCCTCTCTCTTTCTCTGCAGGAATATCATGAGGCATGGGAACAGCAAGGTGGAGAATAGTTTTGGGCAGGAGCTTGGCAGTTCTCAGACCAGCGTGGACCCTGAGGAGAACTTTGCTGTGTCCCTGCCCCTTCTCCCTGATCTCTGAGTGCCCAGAGGAGCAGGAAACATCCTGTCATGCCTGATCTTTGTGTGCTTGAACCAACACCCCTCCAGCAACGTGAGGGGCCTGGGGAGCTCTTAGAAAAGAGTCCTCATGCTTCCCCATCTCTGTCATCTCAGAGGGCTCTTAGCTCCCTGAGTACCTGTAATGCTGATCCAGTGTTGGACAGAGGGAGCCCTGGCTGTGTTCCAACCAGGAGGAAACTGAAGGCCATGGCAGGTATGTGCCAGCCAGGAGGCAGAATGGGACACCCCACTGATGTCAGTGCAATTAGAGCTTTAAAGCCCATGTAGCAGCACTGACAGGACCTACTTATTTTTGCTGGAAAGGGAGAAATGTTGGAGTTCAGACAGTGCTGAATTGATAGTAGGTCATAACAGAGTTGCAGAGAGAAATGGATAGTAAAGGATGCAAAACAAAGCAGAAGTGATCTGGGGTATTTCTTCTCTTTATTCTCTTATTGTTTCCAAGAGTAAGAGCATCTTGAGCAAACGTTTCCCAGAGATATTGTATTATGCAAGAGGGGTTTCCCTGCTAAGTTCATCCTGATAAGGCTGGTAAAGCTCACCATGAGGGAAGAAGAACTGTTTATAGACAGCCAGGCCTTACCCAGCAGTTGCCCCAGGAAGGCCGTGACGATGATATATCTGAGGTGCATGTTGAGACCAAAATGCCCATTTGCTGAGTGAGAGAGTCAGAAAAGCACCTCCCAGCCCCGAGATAGCAGAGCTGCCGGAAACGGCTCTGTTGGGGGAGCAAAGGAAGGAGCGGGGGTGGGAAACGATCTGTTCTTCCTGTGCCTGAAATGCTCCTTCTGGGTTTCTCCCTCCTCCAGCAGCAACAGCTGTGGCTCCCTCAGCCAAGGGCCTTCTCGGCATCTCCACAGTGGGAGACCCTGGGGTCTGAGGGTGTCCCAGTGGTGGGAAGAGGCTGTTCCTGGTCAGCTGGCAGTGGAGTCCTCACCTCCCCAGCTAGAATCACCTGCTCTTCTGCATAGCCCCTGATGGGTATTTGGAGGTCAGGGGTTTCTTCCACAATGAGGTCTTAAACCCTCCCCTGATGTCCTCAGCTCTCTGGGGATGTTGCTATTTCTTCTGAGAACAGAAGCCTCCTCCAGTTCTGGCACTTCTCCCTTGTCCTTCCTCAGCTTCTTTAGAAAAACATCTCTCCCCCAAATCTTCAGAAATTGGAGATGAGCCCTGCTGTGCATCACCCAGGGGTTCTGCCTGTGTCGTGGTCTGGTGGGGGCACCTATGGGGAGAGAGAGGAACCTGGCTCCAGTGCGCTGCTGGATGCCACAAACCCAGAGGTGACCAGAGAAACTCATCCGTAGGGGAATGGGTAAGGGGTCCACAGGAAACAGCACGAGGGATCAGTGCATCACCCAGACACATACCCAGGGAGCACATCGGGCACCCACTGAGGTGCTGCACTGTGAGGGGTGGGGATGGGGCAGCCCTGCACCCCAGAGCTGAAAGGGCACGCGATGGGCTGGGGGATGGGTTGAGACCCCTACTGCCACCCCCTTCCCAGATCAAGTCCAGAGTGATCCCATGCACCAGTCACAGCAGAGATAAAAGCGACTGTTCATTTTGGTTGTCTCATAAAAAGCCTAAAAAACCTCCACAGTGTGGTCGGCAGTGATCCAGGTAACTACAATGCTAATAATAGGAATATTCTCGTGGAAGCATTGCACGTCATTATGGCATGACAGGAGGTTTCTAGAACTGTGGAGTGTTCTGTGGCTGGCAAAGCCTTTCCCAGGTGGAAGAGCAGGCTAGAGCTCACCCTGCAAGGGGCTACAGAGATGGATCTGCCTCCATAAGAGTCACAGCAGACATCTACTAGAGCAACATTAGGACTCTGGCACTTCTAATGAGAGCAGAAATTGAGCCATAGTCCTCAACCTGCAGCCATTCTCACTGACCTCAGGGTCACATCCCCATGAATCTCTCCTTCCTTCCTTCCCGTTTCTTTCCTCTCCCCTTCCCTTACACATTGTCTGGCTTGGCTGCACCTGGGTCCATCCGTGTCTGCCCTGAGGCTTCTCCCAGCACCATTCTAGCATGTAGGTCTCAGACACCTGAAGAATGACACTCCCAACACGGTATACGAGACTTGCTCCAGGCTCTTCATCATGGAATTGGCCCCTTGTTGGTCTGTCTCCAGTATGACTGAGACATACAGTTCCCAGTGAAAACACACACACTTACAACCTCTGGAGTCACTGCTTATATATCAGTCCCTCCAGGTGCTGGCACAAAGAGCAAAAGGCCCCGTGACCCTTCTCCAGTGGCTGGCACCAAGGTCTAAAATCCCTGTAGGCACTGCCTGTTCGCCCAGTTACTGGCACCCAGCTCTCTCTTGCACACCAGTCTCTCCAGTTATGGCGCTCAGACCTTGCAGCTCTCACACATGGGAAAGGGAGTGAAGCTACACAGAAGGGGGCTTAAGAAAGGATTTAACAAGGAATCAGGGGGGACTGTGGTGATCAGGCACAGGGCTCATCCCGGCAAGTGCACTGACCAGCCCCTGCTT